GAGGGAGATGGAGATAGAAACTTTGATCACGCATAACTTTTTAACGAATGGTCCGATTTGAAAAATTTCTTCTACATTTCGATAGGTATTGATAAACACAATAAAACTGCATTTTTACTTTTCCGAAATATTTAAATTTTTAAAATCGTGTATAAGCGATTGTGGGCGTCAGAGGGGGCGTGGCACCATTTTGAAACAAACTTGCGCTGCGTAGGAACTCCTAGAATCTGCATGCAAAATGCCAATCTTCTAGCTTTTATAGTTTCCGAGATCTCAGCGTTCATACGGACGGACAGACGGACAGACGGACATGGCTATATCGACTCGGCTAGTGACCCTGATCAAGAATATATATACTTTATAGGGTCGGAAACGCTTCCTTCTACCTGTTACATACTTTTGCACGAATACAATATACCCTTTTACTCTACGAGTAACGGGTATAATAAAGCGAAATATATTTAATTAAATATCCTTTAAATATATTCAATATAAATATAGTTCGCTTTGTTTATGTTTAACAATCATAGTATATTCAAATCTATTAAACTTTATTAAAATATTTTTAAATTTAATAAAGCAGTTTTATATGTTTTAATTTAAATATGAAAAACGAAACTATGAATTAAATATGCAGATATTCATTTTTAAGGTATATACAAAAATTTTACATCAAGCTTCATTGCCATATGCATAAATGCAATTTAAGTTGAACAGGAATCATAGAACTTCTTTTGACACACAATTAGTTTCTTAGTCCAGAAATGATGCTTATCGAAGTTTCATTATTCACTACATTGACAATTTGATTCATATTCATATTGTGAATTCATGTGTGGTTTTGATTAAAATTTAATAGAATATTTAATTAAGGTTTAGGATAATTGTTTACAGTTTCTTCAAATACAGTGTCTAGAGGTTTTACTAAGTTTTATTTAATCGCGAACGTCGTTGCTCTCGTCTTGATGCGTCGTCTTCGGCTTCCTTCATAAAACTCTGCACTCGTCTTTCAGTTGCTTCATCTCGTCGCCTCGTCCTTTTGCTCTCGTCGTCGTCTTTGTCTCGTCGTTTTCGTGATCCCTTTTTGCTGCTAAACTTGTCGTTACCTTTTCGTTACTTTTAAAATAAAAATGTTCGTTAAATTTCAAATAGGAAGTGTACATCAGACACACAATTCCCACATTCGGCCATCCTGCGTAAGTATTCGACTCGAATGCTTAGTTATCAGAGTCGTCGGATATGTTTGATATGTTGTTGTTGGTTGGCCAAGGCTTCATATACTCGGCACAACTTGAAGATTTACAGGACCGTAGGAGTTTCCCAGTTTCTGAACGCCGTATGAGTTGTTGGATCTAACCTTCGTTACCTGGTAGGGACCTACAAATTTTGGTTTTAGTTTAAGGCCCGCACCGAATTGCGTTCGTTTAATGGCAACTAAGTCGCCCTGCTTGTACTCGTTTGCTTTTTTGCGTCGTAAGTTGTACAATTTTTTGTTTTCGTTTTGGAGCTTTAAAATTTGTAGCTTCGATTTTTCTCGGAGATCGTCGAGGCCATCCTTGAAAGCGTCCATTGTTTCCTTTTTGAGTAAATCCTGTAGCTGGTGATCTTCCGTGGTGCGCATTTTTACTTAAATCATAAGTTCGAATGGTGTGGAATCGATACTTCTAGTGTACGTTGAATTTATGGCCTGCTGCACTCTGTTGACATGTTGGTACCATTTTGTAGGGTTGTCCACGCTGAGCTTAGAAAGAACTGAGATGATGATAGCGTTCAATCTTTCAACTTGACCATTGTGGTAGTTTTTATAGGCGTTATATTTTCCTCTTCGCAGTATTTTAGGAACTCCTGAGACGTAAAGGCTGCACCTCTATCAGAAATAATAAGAGAGGGGTTGCCAAAAGCTGTGATTTGCTGTCGAAGTTTAACAATGACGTCATTTGTTGAAGTTGACTTGGTTGGATATAGCCAACAGAATTTTGTGAATGAGTCAATAACGGCAAAAATATGTTTACAGTCCTTACTTGTGGAATCAAGGGGTCCAAGAAAGTCTACAGCGGAGCTTTATCTTTGCTTAACGGGTGTAGAAATCCTTCTTGTTTTCCTCGTTTGCGTTTTGTGAGAATGCAAGGAATACAACAGTTTATGTACTTTTCAATTGTGGACTCGATGTTTTGGATAAAATAGTCTTTGGAAATGAGATCTTTCGTTTTCTTCATTGCAAAATGACCTCTGTCATAAGCACGGCTTATTATTTGACGCTGCATGTCCTTTGGGACGACGATCAATTCGATGTCATTGACGAGCTTGTAGATAATTCCCGACCTGATAAAGTAGATATCGTGCGATATTGCACCGTTGTCCAGAATTTCTTTTACGGCTTTTAGATGTTCGTCTTGGCCTTGTGCTGTTTTAATGGCAAAAGTTATGTTGTCTTCCGTTATGGTCATAACTGGATGGCGACTTAGCGCATCCACATGCCTCATTTGCACACCTGGACGATGGAAAACTGTGCAGTTGTACTCTGCAAGTGCCATTACCCAACGACTGATCCTTTTATTCAAGTCTTTCTTTAGCATCGTTTTGTTAAATGCGTCGCAGTCTGTGAAAATTTTAAAGAATCTGCCCTAAAGATAGACTCGAAACTTGGAGACAGCTTCCACAACAGCAAGGACTTCCAGTTCATAGCTCGGATACTCTCTTTGAGCCGGTGTCGTCTTCCTGTTCATATAGTAAACGGGGTGCAGATGACCATCTTCCGGAGATTTCTGCATGAGAACTGCCCCAAATCCATCCTGAGAACCGTCAGTATGAACTTCTGTTTCGTAATCCTGGAGATATAGATACTTAGAACAGGACTTTCCGTCAATATTCTCTTCAAAGTATCAATCGCGACCTGCTCGTGCATTCCTATTTCGATTTTGGTGTCCTGCTTTGTCATGTCCGTGAGTGGTTTCGCAATTCTGGCATAATTGGGTATGAACTTTCGAAAGTACCCAGGCAGACCTAAGAAGCTTTGAAGTTGCTTAAGCGTTTGAGGAAACTTCACAACTGCATCTATTTTTTCAGTGCTCGGGTATAATTTACGAAATATGATGCGCGTTTGAGGAAAAGCACATTTTTTCATATTCAACTCTAGGCCATACTCTTCACATGTTTTGATGACTTCTTTAAGGTTCGACAATGCTTCTCGTTCGTCGCTCGAAGGGATGATTATATCGTCGATATAGGGCAACGCGATGCCTCTCTGAGTTAGGGGTCGAAAAATAGCATTGATATGACGCTGAAAAACTCCGGGCGAGTTCGACATTCCAAACGGGACCTTCCTAAACTGATATTGACCGCTCTGCGTCACAAAAGAGGTGTATTTGCGACTCGACTCAGCAACTGCCACGTGAAAAATCCATTTTTCAAGTCTATGGTGCTGAATATGTTAGCGTTCTGGAGTCGATCTAACTGTTCGTCTATGAGAGGTAATGGAAAGTGGTCCTTGATAATTACCTTATTTATGAGTCTGTAATCAACACAAAGTCGAGGAGAACCATCACTCTTTTGGACAAGAACAATTGCACTCGTAAACTCAGAATTAGATTCCTCGATAATCTCAGATTTTAGCCCCCGTCGATTCAGCAAATGGTAATCTTCGCGGTCGCGAAAAAATTGGGCTTTCATCAGCGAGAACGATCCGCATCTCTACGCCAGTGTTTTTTACTTTCTGTGGCTCGTAGTTTGATATTAGCTCGCGAACTTCTGTTTGCGCACTCGGACTAACCGCTTTGTTTATATTTAGTTCAGTTTCGGACACTACGTCAATTTTCATCAGGTTCATTTAAAAATCTTCAGTATTCGAATGCACTTTTCGAACGCTTAAACCATAGTTCTTCTCCGTTTATTAATTTTATATCGACACAGTTATTTGACACCACGTAAAAGTTTAGAAAATATTCATTTCCGTCGATTTCAATTGAACGCATGAAGTGACCGATAGGGCGAATTTTGCTGTTACTATTACCGAAACCGATTATAAAAATGGCACAGCTTTCGAGTTTTGGCTTGTTCATCTCGATATACAAGTCTTCGCGTATGATGTTAAACTTGCTGCCCGTATCGAATAGAGCTACACATTTTTGGGCATCAAATGCCACTTCTTTGCTAGTAATGTCGTTCTTGGGTTGGATACGGTTCATATTGGATTTATTTTCTTTTTTCACGCAGTTTTTCGAAATATGACCGAACTCGTTGCATTGGAAGCACTTAGGGCCTTTCTTTTTGTTGTTTCAATCGTTGGAAACGTGACCCTTTTCTCCACAATTGTATCAAACGCACTCTTTTTTGTAACTTTTTACTGTTTCAAAATTATGCCTAAATTGAGTCAGGACGTTGAGAATTCTATAATAACTCTTACCAAGAAAGGCTGTTCGTCCCGGTTAAAATCTAGTAAACTTGACAGCACCGAAATTGGTCTATAGATGATATTGCTGGCACCGGCCCAGTGAATCAATCCAACGTCACCACGTTAAGCAAACGGTAAAGCATGGTGGAAACAATATAATGGTTTGGAGCTGTTTTATCTTGTGGAACATTGGACCAATGCACAAAATAGAACAAAGAGCAATATCTAAATATATTGAAGAACCATCTTCCCAAGTTTATTGATCGCTGTGCTTACAACGAAGCTGAAATCGTGTTTCAGCAGGATGGAGACCCGAAGCACACTGCAAAAGTTGTCCAGAAATGGCTAGTGGACCAAAATTTTCAGTTGATGCAGTGGCCGGCTCAAAGCCCTGACCCATCAAAAGGGCCCCGGAGACATTTTTGGCGGAGAAGACAAACTTTTTTCTCGGAGACATCGGCCTTAACCTGACCGGCAACTCATTGAGGGGAATCATACGGACGAAGCTACATACAGTGTCTCACAGCTTATTTCAACCAGTGCTCAAGTAAAACTTTAAGTCGCTGTATTTGCCAAATTAAGAGAGATATTGGAACATTTTAAACGCAGATTTATAGCTCTGTATTTTAACTTTTATTTCATGAATTCTTACATTTTTAAATGTTTTTTTATATTTATTTTGATTTTAAGACTCAAATAACAGGTGAAATGAATGCCACAACTTATTTCAACCAGCCCTTAAAATTATATATTTTTTTAAGATTATGAACTAAAAATGATAAAATAATATTTTGTATGACTAGCCTCCTTGTAAACAATCATTTTAAGTCTTTTTGGGATTGAGTCGACCAATTTTTAAGTCACTTGGGGACTAATTTTGGCCAATTCTTCGAGTAATGCGTTTTTTAGGTCCGTCTTATTGAAAATTTGACGCTTTCGAATTTTTCTGTCCAATATAGCCAACCAATTATCAATAATATTATTATCTGGAGACCAGGCTGATGGTTACATGATATGCGGGCAATTTTAAATGAGCCATGTTGGCAGAGTTCGCGATGTGTGCTTGGGATAATTGTCCTGATAAAATCGGAATTTATCACGAATCCCCAGATTTTCTGCACTTTGCAGCAAAATGGACTTCAATATGTTTAAATTAAGAGTTTGGTTCATTGTTGTGTCCAGCAAATCCAAAATCCCCGCTCAAGCTGCCGACATACAGGCCCACTTGGCCTTAGATCCTTCGCCAGCGACCGTCACTGGGGACAAAAAGCTGTGCTGACAGCAACTCTTTGGCACCTGCAAAGCACAACAACCATCTTTGTACTTTCTCGCTCCTCGTCAAGTCCAGCAATTTGGTCGTGGGAATCCCTAGAAGTGAGGGAAACACTTAGGTCAATAGGCACTTACCTTCATATTTATATATATATATATATAATTACGCACGTCCTTTCTTATCCCTCGGAGCTCCCCAGTAGACCAAATCCAGCCTGCGCGAAGTATTGGTTCCGTGGCGACTGTAGCCAGTTTCCTGACCTTGATTGGTGCAACTGCTGTGACTCCTTAACTAATTTCCCACACGCTGGTGCGTTTAGGGTCACGAATGTGAAGAAGCATCATTACCTGCAATGCAACTACGTTGTAATTATTAAAGGCAAATGGAAATGATGGTGTAAGTTACTTACCTGTTGGGGGAGATGGACCGGTCGTAGACAGCCTGTTGGTGATTCCGGCCGTTAACGATGGGTGGTGCCTCCCTCGCGTCACTTGGGGCCTCACAGGAAGGGTGGGTGCGCTTTGGCATCCACATCTAATGCCACTTTTCCGTCATATTTGTCCCCGATTTGTTTATTTTTTGTTGTTAAGTTACTTCCTGTCCGTAGAGGAGGAAGATTTATTTGGCCTCCCCGTATATAACGGGTTAACGCCACAGCCTTTGTATGAAATTAGATTTCAAGAAAATAAATTATTCGTTGAGTAATAATCGTGCGAGCATTTCTAGTGATGATATTATGATGGCGATGAACGATGATTATGTTAACAATGGTTGTGTGTAATGGTTTATGCGATTAATTGTGTTGTTTATTATTATGAGGTGAGGTGTGAATGTGTTAGCGTGAAAATGTGAGCAGTGTGTTATTGTTGTGTTAAATTAAATGTTTATGTTAGCGGAATGTATGAATTGAGTTATCGATGTCCAGTTATCGATTGTTTCTTGTCTGAGCAGTCGATATATATCAGTGTATTTGAGCAATGTTGGGTAATTTTGTCTTATGCCCTCTTCCCATAGAGTCCATCCGTCTGAAACGGTTGGGATTTTTGACAAATGTGAAACTCCGATTCCCACAGAGCACATCCACCATCCACCATCCGATAACAGCTGATCTGAACAGCTGTGGCTCATCATTTTAGCCCGTTGCATTTTGCACAACATTTAAAATGAGCACAACAGCGTTATAAATGATACTTGGTAACATACTGCAAGTGATCTACGAGAACAACCAAATCGAACTAATACGTCTTGTTATGGAACTGCATTTTCTCCTGGGACGGCGCCGGCTAGCTCCCGAATCCCCAGGGCGGAGTATCCCCAATATCCCTACAGTATCCACAACATAAACATCGATATACGCGCGTCTCACTTCACAAAAACTATCGCTCATCACTAACAAACAAAACAAACCAAAATGTAAACAATGCAAACAATTAGGAGTGACGGGAAATATATGGTGTTTTGGTGGCTATTGGTGACCTAGCCAAGCACGCCCACCCAACCAAGGATGCCCCGGATGATTCTGAGGAGGCATCACCCATAATCAGCTGGTCGAAGTCACTCCTCGCGACTAGGACAGCTCCATCTCCCCCACAGCGACAACTCACTCGCACATTTCAGTCTTCATATACATTTAATATCCACAGTAAGTACTAAAGTTAACATAACTTGCTCTCCTAGTAATTAATTCATCTTTCCTTAGCCTTTACGACCAAACTTGGCCACCGTCTACAAATTTACGCGGTCAAAGCGGAAGATTACCTTCCTTTGGCAAAGGCTACAGGCGCCGCGGAAATAATGTTCCACCAGGCATGTATTGGTGGAACTCGCAGTGGAACGAGGCGCAAAAAAAGGGCACACACTAGGTATGTGTCGGGTCACCTAATCCTGAGGAGCTCCTAGGGAAAAGAAGGGACAGGCCAAACGGTAAGTATTACGCGCTGTAATCTATCCCGCCGAAAACTAACAATCGCGACCCTTTTTTTTTTACAGGCAACAGGAGGACAACTAAGGTTTTCGGGTCTAAGTCCGGATAAATTTACAGGTCAACAGGTAAGTACATATAAATTTAGTAAGGTGCACATTTAATTCAACGTTAATAATTTCAGCCACTTCTGGGCTAGGCGCCGGGCTAAATATGCCCCGACTGCAGCGTACTCTGCCGGAGGCCAGCACCAATAAGGGCCTGGAACACCCGGAGGAACGGTGGTTAAGGAAGGGATAGATGGCGGTGCCTTTCAACGCCGCGCGAAATGGCCAGCCAGTTACTCCAAGGCGACTTAACAGCCAGGAACGGACTCACCGGCGTATTTTAGACAGCGTTGGCGGCGTCCGAGGATGGCGAGTTATTGTGGTCCAAAATGTATCGCTTGGTTGAAAGAAGGTGCGTAGAGGTATGGATGCCAATATCCAGATTAGGTGTCCCGCTTTTATTTGAATTTATGCCTCCAATTTAAATAGTCCAATTCAATTATTCCAATTGGAATTTCCGGATTTAATTTCCTCCAATTTAAATTTTTAGATCTAATTAGTCCAATTAAGTCTTCCAATTTAATCTTCCAATTTAAATATCCCGGGGCCCTTTGTATTGGGACCCCGGTTGCCCTACGAATAATTATTTATAAATAAAATAAACTATTAAACCTAACACAAATTTTTCTAACACTCACTTTTTTTCTATATTTCGGCACAAACACTACTTCGACATTTTTATGTTCTGTCTCCTGGGACAATATGGCTGCGACTATATAAAAATTTGCCTATCATGCCTATATCTCGCCATATTCCCCTCGCCTCTCTCGAAATTGGGTCATTGGACATATCAAGGCCATCCTAGCCATACCCAGAGCGAACCGGGCTAGTTTAAATAGCTAGATAGCCAAGACATCAGCAGAAGGGGGCGCCACTCCAGTAGGAGTTGCCACCCTCCCACTTTATCGATAGCCCTACCAAAAACGAATACCTCCTTCTTAATTCTTCCAGCCGATTCCAACTTGAAATGCAACACCACCCAAGGATTTAGAGAGACGCCTCCGAACCATGGCCACTCGACGAAATCATTGGGAGCATTGGAGATCGGTGTCTGGCGAAATCCGAATGCAGTTCCAAACGGTGCCCTACGCGGGGCCCACGCATGCCGGTAAGTACTGCCTTTGTTTTTTGTGTTGTGCTCCTTTAATTTATGCTGCCTCATTTCAGGTTATACCCGGATGTCCTTGGCGTGATACACCCCTATCCGACGTCCTTGAAGATCCTCCAGCTCGTAAGCATTGTTGCCGACTGCTTTCACCACCCGAGCTTTGAGGAACTTCCGAGCAAACTTCGCGTTAAAGGCACTTTTGAAGTCGCTGAGGACGAAGTTACGGCGATACACTTCCTGGCCTGGCTTCGCAAGGAACGTCCGAGCTCTCTGGTCGTACTGCTGGCGACTTCGCTCGTACGACTTTTCGAGATTCGTCTGCACCTTGGCCTGGATCACTTTGAGCTTGTCGACTGTTCCCATCCCAGCAATCTCATGGTCGCACAGGGATTTCAACTTTCTCGCCAACTTGTAGCTGGCCCCGTTCAAGAACATGTGATGACCGAAAACCGTAAAGAAGGGCGTTTCGCCAGTTGCTGCGTGTATCGCGTTGCGAAGAGCCACCTCGATCTCCGGGAGAAATGCGTCCCATTCCCGATGGTCTTCCTCCAAATAACTCCGGATTGCCGCCAGCACGCTTCGATTAACTCGTTCTGCGGCGTTGCTTTGCGGAGAGTAGACTGGAGTCTTGATGTGGGAAATGCCGAAACTCTCCATTGCCTCCACGAAGATCTTTGACGTAAACTGTCGACCGTTGTCTGAGTGAATGATTTCCGGGACCCCGAACTTGTAGAATACCTCGTGGATGAGGAAATCTACCACGCTGGCGGCCGAGGCTTCCTTCATGGCTTTCAGAAACGTATACTTCGAAAAATGGTCGACGACAATGAAGATCCATGCGTGGCCCTTCTTCGATCTCGGATATTTTCCAAGAAAATCGATGTACAGTTTCTGAAATGGCTGCTCAGTCTGGACTCTTTCCCCAATACCAACTTGCATCCGGAAATTCGGCGCCTTGGACTCCTTACAGACCTCACATCTGCGTACGAAAGCTCGGACCTGCAGCACCATACCTGGCCAGTAGAACTGTCGCCGTAGGATTTCCAGAGTCTTTCCCATTCCGCCATGAGCTGCTGTTGGGTCCGTATGCGCACGCTCGATTAGGCTGTGGGTCAGACTCTGTGGGATCCACAGTTTCCATTCGGAACCTTCCATCTCCTCGTCCAGATTTACCGAAGAGACTCTCTTGAAGATGAGACCATCCACGATCTTCAGGTCCGGTAAGTTATCCAAGTTATTTTCCACCTCCTTCACTAACTCGAGATAATCTTCTCCAGCGAACTCGGTGGTTTCGAACCCCAACAAATCCGTCGGATTAACTACGAGCTCCTCCACACACCGTGAAAGGGTGTCTGCCACGACGTTCTCACTTCCTTTTCGGTGCTCGATGTTGAAGTGGAACCCTTGAAGCTGCAGCGACCACCTCGCCAACCGTCCCGACAAATCCTTCATGGACATGAGCCACTTCAAGCTGGCATGATCCGTGATGCAGGTGAATGGCATCCCTTCGACATATGGCCGGAACTTCCGGATGGCCATGAGCGCCGCGAGACACTCTTTCTCGGTCACGGTGTAATTTACCTGATGTTTATTCATCTTGGCCGAGAAAAAGGCAATTGGCTGCTCTTGTCCGTCGTCGTCTCGCTGGAAAAGCACCGCCCCGACTCCGACGTGTGACGCATCGCACTGGATAAAAAACCGTCTCTTGAAGTCTGCATGCACCAGGACTGGTGCAGTCGTTAAAGCCATCTTCAATGACTCTACGGCTAGCTGGGCCTCTGGACTCAAGGAAAACTTAGAATTTCCAGTTTTCTTCAGCGATTCAGTGAGTGGGGCGGCCAACGTCGCAAAGTTCTTTATGAACCGGCGGTACCATCCAGCAGTCCCAAGGAACGCTCTCACCTCCTTCATCGTCCTAGGCTCTGGCATCCTCCTGATCGCTGCTACTCGTCCCGGATCCATTCGTAGATTTGAAGCAAAACTTTGATTTACTCATACCAATCGTTAACCCCGCTGCTTTCAGGCATTCTGCGACTCTCCGAAGGTATCTGAAATGGGTCTGGATATCTGGAGCCAGGATCAACAGATCATCTAGGTAGACAAAAACGTTGGAACGGATCTCAGCTGGGATCACTCGGTCCATAAGTCTCACCAACCGCTGCGCCGCGTTGCAAAGTCCGAAGGGCATCACCCGGAACTGGTAGAGAGGCCGACCAGGAACCGTAAATGCCGTCAGTTCCTTGCTCTTCGGGTCCAACTCGATCTGCCAGAATGCGAACTTCAAATCCACGCTGGAAATGTAGAACGTTTGGTCGATTCTGGACAGGATTCCGTCGATACTCGGCAGCGGGTAAGCGTCTTTAATGGTCAAATCGTTCAATTTGCGCGCGTCTAAGCAGAACCGATCTTTCCCAGGCCTCGACACTACCGTCGTCCGGTTGCTCCACGGGCTCATGCTCTCCTCGATGACTCCGAGCGCTAGCATCTTGTCCACCTCATCCTCGACAACCTTCTGCTTCGCTGGAGACATGGGATATGGCCGATCCTTGAAGACCTTGGCTCCCTCGATCAGCTCGATCGTGTGCTTCTCCAAATTCGTCGTACCCAGACCATCCTTCTCAAATGTGAGAAACACCTCCTGGATCTCCGCGAGCTGTCGTGCGTCGGCCTCAGATAACGTCCAGGATTCGGGATCCGGTTTCTCCTCGTCGTCATCTTCCTGTTCGGCGTAGTGCTCCATATCCCTAGCGTGGATTTCGTCTGCCTTGACGCTTTCCGGGTCGCTGGGGCCTATCACCGCTGGAGCCAAGTCAAACGCCTGCCAGAAGTCCACTCCGAAATAGGCTTCCTGCTCCAGGTATGGACATACATAGAACAGGATCCGCTTTATCTGTCCTCGGTACTCCACAGGTAGCTCGACGCGTCCTATAATCGTGCGATCCTCTCCAGACGCCGTTCGGACCACAGACAGGTACTTCTGGATTGGTACATCCAACGCCTCGACGAGCTCTCTTCCACCTTTGCCCAGCAGGCTGACACTAGCTCCCGTGTCCAATAAGCCAGTCAGCTGTTGGGTCAGGATCCGGACTTCAGCGAATGGTCGAGGGTCTCCCGTTCCACTGCGCTTCACAGCGGCAACCACTTCTCGCCTCCTCGCTCGTCTCTTACGGAATCGATCCCTGGCCTTCTGGACTTTCCTAGACACCGTTCGCATGCCGGCTAACTGGTGCTCGGAGAAAATTCGGTTCCTGGTCTCCAGGTACCGACGCATCCTTTCCTCATAAGGTAAGTATTTTAAACTGTGCTTATTCCTACTCGTACATACTAAACCTTTTTTACATTCTAGAACATTTACTGCATCGCGGGACTCTTGTCTGGACGCATCCTTCCCGCTCTCAGATCGCCCAGCCGACCGTTTTCCGCGCAATCCGGACATCTCGGAGACACAGTGTCTGGCCTTCCGCATCGGTAGCAGAACAGGCGCCGTTCTGTTGCCGCGCAGTCACGGAACCCGTGGTCTACGGCTCCGCAATTCCAGCAGCCCGCTCGGAACGGATTTCGGGTCTTCGCTTGCAACGCCTCCACCTGCCACTGGGAATCCTCTGCAGTGTCGGGACCAGCTGCCTCGCTAACCCTGGCCTTCTCCGCCGGAGGATAACGCATCGGGTGCGCATAGGCCGCGCGTCCTCGTCGTCCAAAATTGCGCTCCACCTCGCAGCACTCTTCCCTCAACTCGTCCACAGTCATCACATCCATTGCGTAAACAAATCTTGCAATACCCTCTCTCAAGCCCTTTTTAATTATTTTAACCATCTGTCGCTCTGACAGTGGTTTTTTTAGGCGAGAGGCTAGCTGCTGCATCGCATGGACATAGTCCTCAACGGCTTCTCCCGGCTGCTGTTCCCTCTGCAGAAGCTGATGCATCCGGTCGTGCTCCGTCTGGTGGCCTCGGAACCTGTCCATCAGCGCAGCACGCAGCTGTGGCCATCTTTCCACCCTGCAGTGACGCACGTGGACCCAATACCACTCGCGTGCCCGTCCGGTTAGCAGCACATGGAAATGGCGGAGCACTTCCTGCCAAGGGCACTGGTACTGCCGCTGCAGGAACTCGAGCCGGAACAGGAAATCTTCCACCGAGTTTCGCTCGTCCTCGCCATCAAATGAAACGCCCCACCGCTCGATGCGAACCTGTTGGCTGCCGCCACCTGGCCCTGTATTGGCGTAAAAGCGCGGCTCCTCGCGGAAATCGGAAGCCCTGCGGTCCTCGTAGTACCAATTTCGAGGCTCGTTGCGTCGCCCTCGTTCGCCATCCAGAGGATATCCTGGACTGCTGCTCTCCACCGGAAACGACTCCAAGGGCCTTCTAGGCGGCTTTGGTGGAACCCTTGGTGGCGGTGGACGGGAGCCAATCGAACTTGCTGATGGTGCAGTCTTTGGAATCGCCCCTTTCTGGACCAGACTTGGAGCCAGTGGTGCCGCCGTGTCCGTCCAACCCGGAGGTTGCTGCTGATCGCTATGGTTCCCCTGTGGAAGCTGCGGCCGCTGAGCAGCAGGCCTTAACACCTCGTTCATCAGCTTCATCATTTCCAGGAACCCACCTCGGATTTCATCCCTTAAGGACTGGCTGACGCCGGACTCCTGAGCCTTCCGATGGGTCTCTGCCGCCTGGGCCAATGCCACATTTACTGCCGATTTCGCCGCGTTGTCCAGAAACGCCTCCGAGCTCACTTGCTCCGGAACTTGATGTTGCGTGGGATCTGTTCCCATCTGAAGTTCCCTGCGCAGCTCCGGATGAAGACGACCCAACGGAGTCCTTGGCAGTCCCATCGATATCCGTGGCTGTTCGGCCCCGGCAACCTCATCTAAATCGGTGGACCACAATTTCTCCTCTTCCTCGGCTGGAAGAACCTTCGATCGGAGATCGTAATTGGAAGGCATCGTACAGCACAACAAAAAAAACATAAATATACCTATCTCCCTCAGAATTCCTATATCCTACCCTAAACAAATCACCACAAGAAATAAATACTTAAGAAGAATAATAAATATTAAAATAAGGACTAGCAAACAATAAATAAACAGATAAATATACAAACATGTAATAACAGATAATAATTATAGAAACAAAATTTTAAATAAATAAATAAAAATAAATAAACGTTAGAAATAAATAAATGTATAATTTTAGGAAATCAATAGATAATTTTTTTTCAGGTAAATAAATAAATATTTGGAAAAATAAATAAATAATGTACGAAAATAAATAGAATAATTAAATAGGGTAAATAAATAAATAAATAATATATCTATGATTCTTCCCTTCCTGATTTACTTCTTTTGAGATTTTTTTTTTGACATGGGGAGATGGAACTGACCCTCGCCGGTGGACTTCCGACCTAACTCGTCCTGTGCTTTCTCCCAAAACCCAATTTTTCCCGTCACATCCTAGCCATTCGTCAACTGAACTGGCTATCACGCTTGGTGATAGCCGCCAGTTAAGGACTTCGGCTGCTCGTTGAATCCTGTTGGCTTTGTTTTCCCGTTTGTGGTTTGATCCTTAAATCGAGGTGTTCGTGCAGCGCGTGTACATAAGTCACGGGTCACGAACACACATTTAAGCATCCAACCGACAGAAGGTATCAAACACATCCGAGAACCCAAAAGCCTCCGGATCAACAAAAAAAAACACAACAAATGGAATTACTACAACTGACTTTACCCCACAAACACAAAATATAAATAAATAAATAAATAAAAATCTACGCCCTAACATATTTTATCACAGTTTATTATCACAGTTTTTATCACAAGTTTAGCTATCCGCGGATGCAAATCTTTCCCCTTCTGGGCCAAGATGCCACCCGCAGATCACCTCGTCTGTGCTGTGACCAGGAGCCATTGTCTCCATTCGGAGTCAAGCCTCCTGCCTGCTCAAAAAATAAATCCCCCTCTAAACCTTTCTATCTCTGCCTCGCAGCCCACCACTCTCGGTGCAGTTGCATACAACCTGCTGTTGCGCTGCAAGTCACCGGAGCGGAGGCTATGCGAGGCAAATCCCTATATGCGAGACGTCGTCGTCTCGACGATTTATTTTTTTTACTTTGGGCGCCACTATGTTATGGAACTGCATTTTCTCCTGGGACGGCGCCGGCTAGCTCCCGAATCCCCAGGGCGGAGTATCCCCAATATCCCTACAGTATCCACAACATAAACATCGATATACGCGCGTCTCACTTCACAAAAACTATCGCTCATCACTAACAAACAAAACAAACAAAATGTAAACAATGCAAATAATTAGGAGTGACGGGAAATATATGGTGTTTTGGTGGCTATTGGTGACCTAGCCAAGCACGCCCACCCAACCAAGGATGCCCCGGATGATTCTGAGGAGGCATCACCCATAATCAGCTGGTCCAAGTCACTCCTCGCGACTAGGACAGCTCCATCTCCCCCACAACGACAACTCACTCGCACATTTCAGTCTTCATGTACATTTAATATCCACAGTAAGTACTAAAGTTAACATAACTTGCTCTCCTAGTAATTAATTCATCTTTTCTTAGCCTTTACGACCAAACTTGGCCACCGTCTACAAATTTACGCGGTCAAAGCGGAAGATTACCTTCCTTTGGCAAAGGCTACAGGCGCCGCGGAAATAATGTTCCACCAGACACGTATTGGTGGAACTCACAGTGGAACGAGGCGCAAAAAAGGGCACACACTAGGTATGTGTCGGGTCACCTAATCCTGAGGAGCTCCTAGGGAAAAGAAGGGACAGGCCAAACGGTAAGTATTACGCGCTGTAAACAATCCCGCCGAAAACTAATAATCGCGACCCTTTTTTTACAGGCAACAACGAGGACAAATTGAGGTTTTCGGGTCTAAGTCCGGATAAATTTACAGGTCAACAGGTAAGCTATACATAAATTTAGTAATGTGCACATTTAATTTAACGTTAATAATTTCAGCCACTTCTGGGCTAGGCGCCGGGCTAAATATGCCCCGACTGCAGCGTACTCTGCCGGAGGCCAGCAGCAATAAGGGCCTGGAACACCCGGAGGAACGGTGGTTAAGGAAGGGATAGATGGCGGTGCCTTTCAACGCCGCGCGAAATGGCCAGCCAGTTACTCCAAGGCGACTTAACAGCCAGGAACGGACTCACCGGCGTATTTTAGACAGCGTTGGCGGCGTCCGAGGATGGCGAGTTATTGTGGTCCAAAATGTATCGCTTGGTTGAAAGAAGGTGCGTAGAGGTATGGATGCCAATATCCAGATTATGTGTCCCGCTTTTATTTGAATTTATGCCTCCAATTTAAATAGTCCAATTCAATTATTCCAATTGGAATTTCCGGATTTAATTTCCTCCAATTTAAATTTTCAGATCTAATTAGTCCAATTAAGTCTTCCAATTTAATCTTCCAATTTAAATATCCCGGGGCCCTTTGTATTGGGACCCCGGTTGCCCTACGAATAATTATTTATAAATAAAATAAACTATTAAACCTAACACAAATTTTTCTAACACTCACTTTTTTTATTTCGGCACAAACACTACTTCGACATTTTTATGTTCTGTCTCCTGGGACAATATGGCTGCGACTATATAAAAATTTGCCTATCATGCCTATATCTCGCCATATTCCCTTCGCCTCTCTCGAAATTGGGTCATTGGACATATCAAGGCCATCCTAGCCATACCCAGAGCGAACCGGGCTAGTTTAAATAGCTAGATAGCCAAGACATCAGCAGAAGGGGGCGCCACTCCAGTAGGAGTTGCCACCCTCCCACTTTATCGATAGCCCTACCAAAAACGAATACCTCCTTCTTAATTCTTCCAGCCGATTCCAACTCGAAATGCAACAGTCTGCAGATTTTTGCCAGCCTGCAGGAAAAATATTAACAGCTATTGCCCAATATTGTCTAAATGGTAACAAATCAAGTTGATTATATATAAATGTTTGTTTTTTGTTTTATTATAATTTACCATTTTAAATGTTCTGCTCCATGTTGTGAGTACGGTATGCGCCTAGGAGAGAGTGGATCAAAACCTAATGCTGCCATACAGATGGAGCAGTAATTAATTAATTATTACAAGTACAAGCAGCATTTTTTGAATTGGCGCCTTCCTGTTCAAAAGTTACCCGCCATAATTTTTTTAAATTTTCGTAATTAATGTTCCATTTTCCACTGTCAAGAAGAAGAACTCAGAGTTGCACCAAAAAAAACATCGCCTAACTATCGCATAAAAAAGTCCGTCAAATTTGGATGAGGAACTAACTGGGAATTTTCGGAACGGCTAAACCATATGGACCATCCGTTCAACGGATGGTGGATGGTGCTCTGTGGGAAGAGGGCATTATTTGTGAAAATTTTGTGCAATTGAGCAAAACATGTGAGATGTCTTCAGTTTCGTTGCAGGAGTCGCAGGTGGCCGTATTGTATATTTTCAATTTGTATAATGTGTACGTGCCGAACGTGTGCCCACTTAAAATTCGATTTAATTGTTTTGTTTCTAGTCGGTTGAAAAAGTTTTCTTTGTTGTGGAACGAAGGATTGGACGTTACGTGAGGCTGGAGAAGAGAGTATCCCCTGTTGCGCTCGTAAGAGAACAAGCTGTATGCTCTCTCCCAATCCAGTTTAATTTGTGAATATATGTAATTGATGGCATCGTTGAGCGTTTATCTTATAGATATAAACAATCCGGTGCTTCTCGCATTCTGTCGGTCATAATTGCTATCTTAAGATAGTTTTGCATGATAGCAAACTAGTCAGCGATGATAGTTTTTTGTTTGTGAAGAAACTTTTTGTTGTGTTCGAGTTTATGTGGACAAAGGCACTACCTGCGAAATTGTCCGACACTGAGCCATCTGTGTATATTATTTCCATATTTTTAGATATAATAAGATTAATTTTTTCTTTTAATAAACAGTTTATTTGAGATTTGTTGGTCATTTTTTTGTTTGCACTGGTGCCTTTAAAAAATTTGGTATCAAAAACAATCTTACGTGTACAAGGAGATAAGGGACTTACAAGTGCTATGCTATCAAATATGTTTTTAAATTCTGAATATACTCTGCCGTAGCTAGTGTTTTTGGCTAAAAGAATTGGACATTTGCTGTTGCAAATATGATTCTGTACTCTGGGGGGAGCTCAGCTGCTAGGCTGTAAATTATATTAGTTGGTGTAGATCTGATAAGCCCTAGAGCTTTTCTAAGATGAAAGATGGCGTATTAATACAGTTTTGTACCGTTTTAGATATATTCGCAAATTATGAGCTGGCGTATTCGTATCTGGACCTGATAAACGCTTTGTAAAAGAGTAGGGATTTTCTTGAATGTACCCCAAAGCGGCACTTAACATTTGAAGGAACATGTTGGTCTGATTAGATTTTGAAATCGTTTTTTTAATGTGTTGGACGGAGGAGTTATTGGCACTAATTATCCTACCTAGGTAATTAACGCTATCTACATTTTTTAATATACTATTATTGCACGAGACCCTTAATGGCCTTCTTCTAAGATTGAAGTGAATTGTCGATGATTTGTCCGCATTGAACGTTAAGTTAATTTTATTGCACATTACCCTAAAACTATTTACTTTACTTTGTAGTACCTGTTGAGCCGAAGAAAAGTCTTTGTCATAACAAACTAGGAAGAAATCATCGGCGTATTGGAATAGGATACTGTCAAGATTATTATTTGAACTATGTAGTTCAGCTGTGTAAATATTAAACAGAATTGGGCTTAGACAGCTTCCCAGACTGACCCCTTTGCTCACTGTGACTTCTGCTTGTCCCATAGTTAGAATACTTTTATTAAGGAATTTTACAAGGAATTTAATGTGAGAGTGGTTAAAACCCAACTCTATTAATTTCTGGCCCAGAATGGGAATATTTATTGCGTCAAAAGCTTTACTTAAATCTAAAACTGCGGCCGTTACATGGAAACCACGAGCTTTTAGATTGGCTATATTATTTATTACGTCGTTTATGCAATGGGTTGTAGAATGGTTTTTCCTAAATGCATAAGATCTGGGTGGGATAATGTCGTTTTTATTAATGTGGACTTCCATACTCAGTTTTATCAAGCCTTCTAAGCACTTGAAAACAACACTTAGTAGGCAGATAGGTCTGTTATTTGTTATGATGGAAGAGTCAAGATTTTTTTTTGGAACGGGAATAACTTTAATTTTCCGCCAGCTATCTGGAATATCACCATTGTCTAGTTTTTCATTAAGCAGGGATACCAGCGTTGCTATTTGTTCCAGTGGTAGTGCTAGAAGCATTCTGTAAGATATGTTGTCTAGTCCTTTAGCTGAGTCACGATTACGTGTGTTTAGGAAGTCAAGAAGTTCATGTGTCGTGAAGTTGGAGTCATTATATGTATAGAGAAGATCAAATCGGAAGCGGCTCGCTGAGAATTCCGCAGTGTTAGGGGCTGTGGCTATTTGGTTCAAAAATTCATTGTGTTCAGAGTCAGATATTCACTTTTGGAGGGTTTTATTTGTTTGTAAAGCTTAAGTGATTTAATTTTATTCCACATATTCTTTGGTGAGGAGGGGTTTGAAATTTCGTCTGCCAAATTATTTAAATTTACTTTTCTCATCTTATAAAAATAGTTATTTAGTTTTTTATTGCTATTAATATAATCAATAGCATCTGCATGTAGCTTGGTTCTATAATATTTTTGCCTACTCGCGTTTCTTAATCTAAAGAGTTTGTCACAGTTCTCGTCCCAGTATTTTTTAGGTAAGTATTTATTGTTTGCATCTATGTCAATTAAATTGTTGGATTAGATTGTTTTAAAAGTAATTATTAAGTTTTCTATAGTTGAAATTAGTATTTTTGAAAAGTCTTTAATAATTTTTTGGTGGTCAGGTTTTTTGGATTTTATAGAAGAGGAAAGTTGATAATAATAGAATTATGGGGAAATGATTGCTATTTTAAATTTTCGAGTTAAATGACGTCCATTTCAAGTTTAAATTGTTGTTATTTGAAAGTGTTAAATCTATTGCAGAGCTATATGTAGGGTTGTGTGAATATGTTGGAGAGCCATTATTAAGACAATAGAAACATGAGTTAAGCAGAGCATTTTCCAAAATGCCACCTCTTGCATCATGCACCCTATTCCCCCATATGCTAGATTTTGCATTAAAATCACCTCCTATAATAGCTAATCACTTTGATTGAGCTGCAATGCTAAAAATATCATTACAGCCTTGCTCAAAGGAACTATAGTCCGAACTTGGTGCTGCATAAATGCTGAAAATGCTGACATTGTGCTTCAAATTAGTCGTGCAAATGCCTATTGCTTCTGGGTTTGTATTGCAATTAATTTGTTTGAATCGGATATGTTTTTTCAAATAAATTCCTACACCACCATATCCATCAGGACGTGGTTTACTAACAAAGTTGTAATTTGCTAAGCTGCACATGGAATTGTCATTTATCCAGATTTCGGATAGCATTGCTATGTCTATGTCATTATTCACTAAAAAAAGTTCTAACAGTTGTTTGTTGTTATTAGCCGTTGGGCTCTGAATATTGTATTGTAGTATTTTTAAAGACATGTTAAGTTTATTAAATAATAACAAAATAAAATAGACATAAAACAAAATTAAAAATTAACATTAAATAAATAAATAAAAACAAATAATGTAAATTGACAAATTATAAGAACAAAAAAAAAAAAAAAATAAAAATATCAAAAATTATTTAAATAGCTTGATTTATTTTAAACAAATCTATTTTTGAGTTGGTCATTGCAATTATTTTTCTTAAGTTTCTAAAAAGTTTTTTGATTCAGGTACTAGGTTTGTAGATCCATTAACTAAAAATGATGAAATATCGGAAGATAATTGATTTAAACTAAACTCTGCAGCTTCAAGAGCTGCGTTGTCGGCATTTGCATGACTAGCAGAAGCGTGTGGAGATGTAAAACTAGTGCCAGCGTGAGTGTGCACAAACTTTTCACATGGAGTGTAGGTATGTTCCTTAAGAGCAGCTTTCCAGCTGTTCATAGTGTCGCAGGCATTTTTCTCTTCGTTCGTTCTGTTAAGAGAACTCTTAACTTTTTTGATAAAGGGGTTTTACGCGTAAATATGTTGTGCTACAATTTTTTTGTTATTTTGCAGGGTGGGAATTGCAGATTTTTTCTGCCATTTTGGTTGTGGGAATTGAGTTACATCATTCGTGTCAACTTCGTCAAGAATTTGGAATAGGGAGGGGTATCTAATCTTAGTTTTATTACGGGAGAGGTTTTCTAATGTCATGCACTTTTGGATAGCATACGCTCTCTTTCGTGCTGGGCATTCGAGGGAGGTCGCTATATGTTACTGCTTGCAGTTGGCACAGACCACTTGTGAGCATTGTTGCTTCTTGCTATGAGCGAGCGATCATTTGCTGCATTTTTGTTCTTGCTGTTTGCAATGCTCAGCAAAGTGTCCAAATCTAAAGCACCTAAAACATTTACTGAACGGCACGTACGGACTAACGTTAACTT